GACTGACTGACTGACGGACTGACGGACTGACGGACAGACGGACGGACGGACGGAGGGCTTCACTATATCCCTAACGAACTTCGTTCGTTGGGATAATAAGTTCATAGCATCACCACAGATATATCTAAATACTAGAATTGAGATTTGTTATCGTAATTGTAAAAATACAATTCTTAAAGTAATGAGACACTCGTCATGGATATCATAGAGGTCGCAGTTAATGGAGGTCGAAATGTCGTGATTTCAAAAGTGATCATTTTTTCGTCCCATTTCCAATGTTATTCGCACAATTATGCTGATTTAAGAATTGGTGAGTTACCATAAATACGATTTAAAGCGGGTATATGGACTGTGGAGAAAAAAATTGAAAAATTTTACCTTTTCTGAGCTATCGGGGCGAAGTTTGGTCTAACAACTTCTTCCTTATTCCTATTTTATAAAAATGTATGCATATGCCAATATTCATCAACCAGTAGATTTGGCAAATCGTTTAGAATCTACAATTCTATAGAAGGAGTCCCACCCATAGATTTTTCAAATTCTTTCCAAGTCGACGTCGAAACACCTAGCGGGTGAAATTGAAACTAATTTTTCTTGCTGCTCGAATCGATAGAATCTCCGATAGTGTGAGTCTTTTTATGAAAATGTTTCTTATAGAAATCACTTGACGATTATTAGAAAGCATTAAAAGTTGAATCCAAAGTGTAATCTGAAATAAAAGTGAAAAAACATTGCGCGGACGTTAGAGAACAAACTTCCGGTTTAATAAAAAATGGCGTAGACGAAGGAGAAGAAGCAGACGAAGAATTCGAGGATTTTCTTTTGCCATTATCGATCGATATAAGGTATGTGCACAAATTCTAGTTGCATACATGGAAAATAGATACATTTTAAAGGCTAAAACATATTCAAAGCTTTCATTTTACGATAGGCCCAGGATCACTGGATACGACTCGGCAGTCTTTATACCCACTTTAATGTCTTGCCCGTGCATTGGGACAAAAGATAATGCATGACCCAACTCAGTGACGGAGAAATGCGCAATTAGAGTAGAGGCTTAGATTTCCCGAGATAAGAGCCTGTCTGTTTTCTACCTAATACATAGTGAGTGGGAGGGGGATGAACTCTTGTTCCCGTGCTGTGTATAGGCTGCAGCCAACTACATGTACAGTGGGGGACAAAAATAAAACTCAACGTTCACAAGTTGTCACAATGAGCTAATTTCCAAGTTTCGTGTCTCAAACTCTCCCAAGCGGTAGGAAATAATTCCCGTTCACTAAAGTAGCACAATAAAGGAATCCAAAGCTTCATACCTGCAAATAATGGATAAATCCCTAACAAATCGAATGAATGTTTTAATGAATCGCCATGTTTGTTATCCAAGGACGGTTGACTCCCAGAATGCAACATCAGTTACCGTATTTACTCATGACAGGTTTTAAAATGGCGGAACAGCATTTTGAAAGCTGGCACGTGTCATGTTGCATTCTGGGAGCCAATCCTCCATTCAGGCGCAATCGGGCGACAAAATCACCTCAACATTTGAAGAGTCGGCATAACATGTGAATATCCACTTCAACTTTTAAAATCCACTATATTTGGACTTACTCAGACGGAGAAAATAGAGCACGGAATACACTGAGGTAAGAATTTATTACATGTGCAATAGGTGCATTCATTCACCCTCTGGGTCTCTGAGGATCGTGTTGGCCCCAGGGGTGCATAACGTGCAATGTAAATTTATAAAATATTAGGTGCATTCATTCACCCTCTGGGTCTCTGAGGATCGTGTTGGCCCTAATGCAAGTCCTTACGACAATCCAACGCATTAGAGGCGGTGTTCACCGTCTACATGTGCAACAGCATTTAATTTTCATAGCTTTTGCAATTCTTTATGATCCCCACTGTAACCAACCAGCCAACCAAATAACCAAACATATTATTCTCTATAAGCTAATTGATTCATACCTTTCATACGTTTCAGATTGATGCAGTACAATGATTATATTCACGATATTTTACTATGCCATTTTGTCAATTTGCAACATGTGTACTTTCCATTTAGACGTTCTCAAGAAGTGACCTCTATTATCAGTTAAAGCTAATCGATCAACTCTAAAACAACGCGTTAATCAATCAGGATCTAAAATATTAATCTCAAGTAAAGTAATTGTGATCAATAGTATATTGAGATTCAATTAATATAAATTAACCAAATATTGATCAAACTTAGAACTCATCTATGAAGATTTTTGATTGATTAGTCGGGTGTTACTAAATACCACCTAGGTGTCCCCTTGGGCACCTGGATTTATAATTCCATTTTAAATAATTAAATATAGTATTATTTCCTTTGTCATATTAACTTGACATAATAGACTTGAAATAATAATTTGTAGCCGAGAATATTGCAAAGAAATGTAAAATATCTATGCAATGAAATGTAAAAAGTTTTTTTGCTAGATGGCCACCTGGAATTTTGTTCATGTATATGGTCACTTATTTGTAATAATATAACTGTTTTAATGCTAAAGTGCGCATTTATATTTGAAATATATATATTGTTCTTACTTGAGTTGCTAAAATAGTGAATTTGTGGCATTTTTAGTGAGCAAATAATGAAATATTATCCTAACAAATGGCCTTTTCTACTGATCGATCAAAATTTTCAAGACAATTAAAAAGATAATGACAAACAGAAATCTTTACACAAGTTCCATAAAAATACTTTATTATGTACCATATTACTCTTGGAAAGATGTTAGCTTGAAATAAAGTAGTAAAATAAGCCAGTAAGGCATTTCAATGGGGGCACCTAGGTGTGGGGCACCTAGGTGGTATTTAGTACAACCCGATTAGTCTGTTCCTACACAAATTTTGATGACGTAGTTCACAACAGGTAAATTGGAAATAAACAAAATTTCAAAATTCTGGCCAATATTTGCTCTGTTATGACATCCACCTTTAATTTAGTTTAAATTTTATCGATGAATGACTTCATTGATATACTATCTTTGATTCTACCAAGTAAGGCGTTATATAATATTGGAACGTTTGAGTAATTGGTTCTAAACCGTCGCTAAAGTCAGAGTCATAATTCCATCCATCCATCCATTGTTGAGTAGATTCTACTTTGAATCTAAAAATAATCAAAGGACCACATTGAAACAGTGTATGAAAAAAAGAAACATTCACACATAGCCTAACTTTTGTACATTTTGATTTGTTTCGTATCATATGTATGGCCTCTTACATGTTATGTAACATGGTTGGAACTCCCTAAATTACAAAAAGGTCACAGCTTTTCTGCACATTATACTAACAAAAGCGGTAAACATAAATAATGCCTAAAACTATGAAAAAAGACATTCTGTCACATATCTCATAAATTCTTACCTCAGTGAATTCTTACCTGAGTGCTCTATTTTCTCCGTCGGAACGTTTAAATATAGTTGAATTTGTGTCCATAATGACAAATAGGAACTTAAAAATTTGAAGTGATATTCACATGTTAATGCCGACTCTTCAAATGTTGAGGTGATTTTGGAGCCTGATTACGCCGCAAGGAGGATTGGCTCCCAGAATGCAACATGACACATGCCAGCTTTCAAAATGCTGTTCCGCCATTTTGAAACCTGTCATGAGTAAATACGGTAACTGATGTTGCATTCTGGGAGTCAACCGTCCTTGGATAACAAACATGGCGATTCATGAAAACATTCATTCGATTTGTTAGGGATTTATCCATTATTTGCAGGTATGAAGCTTTGGATTCCTTTATTGTGCTACTTTAGTGATGTTACATTCTGGGAGTCAATCCTCCTTGGATCACAAAAATGGCATTTCATGAAAACATTTTTTTGATTTGGTAGGAATTTATCCATCATTTGCAGGTATGAAGCTTTGGATTCATTTATTGTGCTTCTTAGAGTGAATGGGAATTATTTTTCTACCGCTTGGGAGAGTTTGAGACATGAAACTTAGAATTTAGCTCATTGTGACAACTTTTGATGGTTGAGGTTTATTAATGTTTCTGACTATATCTGAAATATACAAAAGTTAAGCCTTGGACATACATGTATGTTTCTATTTTTCCATATACTGTTGCAATATGGTGATTATATTTTTTTAATTCAAAGTACAAAATAGAATTTTAAAGCGGACTGTATACGTTTATAATAATTGGTGTAGGATAGGTGCTGACCTTGCCATGCATACATTTCTAACCTCAATTGATTCTAAACAACACCTTTCACTGGCGGATTAGGGGGGGGGGCCTGGGGGCCCGAGCCCCCCCCCCCCTTGGGTAGGCCCAGAAAAAAAAAATTGGGCCCAAAAATTTTTTTGGGCCAAACAAGGCCTTCAGGCTCCAAAAAGTGGGCCTTTTTGGTCATTACTGGGCCTTTTAAGGCCTTATTTTTTAATTTCAGGCCAAATTTTGAAGAAAATGGGCCTCAAATTTTCAAAATTTGGGCCCACTTTTGGATTTTAGGGGCCCAAAATTTTTTTCCTCGCAATCGCGGACGTTTTTTTCTCTGACCTGAAATTTGGGCCCCCCCCTTGTTGGTTCCTAGATCCGCCCCTGCCTTTAATGTTCACTTAAAGGCAAAAAAGTTTTGGCTGTCTCCTATTGTAGAGGTAATAACATGATCTTTAAATCGGCCAGTATTTCAAAATGTCCAATATCAACCTGGGGAATTAATTCTGAGTACAATTAGCAGCATTACAAAATGAGGTTACATCCAGTATCTTTATAATATGGGAAATACCATGTAGGCAAGTTGTTATGCAATGATAATTAATGCCTGGTGCGACTCACTTTTAAAATGCCATAATTTTTTGTCTTTATAACTTTTCAACAAGGTTGTACATACAGGGTTCAATTTTTAAAATTAGAAAATGATGCTTAATAAAATTTCTATTTATGCTCAATTAGTGTCAGCTCAGTAACTAATTTTGAAAACATATTGGATGACAAACTATGATATTTTTCTTCCTTGCAGGAAAATCCTCATTTACCTCATATTGTATGATACTAGAATCCATTGGAAAAAATGTGCAAATTGGAAAATAATGTCTGAAAACGGGTAAGTAAGACTCTCCAAACTGCCAAAGTAAATTCTCTATTATTTAAAGGGGCAACAAGGCCTGTAGAGAAGATAGGAAAATTTTAATTTTTTCTGAGCTATCAAGGCAACAATTGGCTTAACATCTTTAACATCCCAATTTTCTTAAAATGTATGGATAAACTATCAATTTCAGCATTAAGAAGTATAAATTCAGTTCTAAGCTTCAAAAAGTGGAAATCCACTTTTATATTTTTATGATCCACCATGTTTGAAGAGGAATATCAGCTGAAATAATGTTCACCTAGGGGGTTTCTTTGGTAGATAATAAAAACAGATTCAAGTCTTGATGAAATATCCAAAAGTAAATATATTTTGACACTGGTCCATGATCGTTGCACTTATTGTTGCACCTTTAACACCTCTCAAAGTGAACACATTCAGTCTCTTTTTCATTTTTTGTCGATTCCCATTTTAAAGACTTAGTTCAATGTTTTTATTCAACTGATTATCATTTTTGACAGGTCACATTTGTGGTGACATACTGTTATGGTCTCCAACTTTTTGTGGACTATGTTTGACATCCTGTGGTCGGTGTCTGTAACAAATGGCAGGTGACATTTTGCATGTTAATGCCATGTAAGTAATTTTCACTTAGGAGATATTACTTTTTCAGGTCATCCCAATATTCAAATAACACCCGTGGGTCTCATCCTCACTCTGAGATAAGTGGCACCAATGTGCCACTTCCACTAGTGACAGCATATAAAGGAGATGTAAAATCTAACAAAAGCAATCCAGAGGTGCTTCCAAAGGTAAACATTCCATTTCAAAGACTTGTATTTTTTAGGAATCCTACTTGCTTTGAACATCTAGAATTGTGTGGCTTTTTGGCATATTCGGTAAAATTTGATGGCCATTTTGGACTTTCCATTCTAAAACCTTGTCTACAAAGACTTGTCTGCAAAATTGTTCCATGGTTCGTGGCATGTCTGTGGCATGTTTTAAAAAGGTCATTTTGGATTTAGATGTGAAATGATTTTTACTGACTTAACTAACTTAGTTATTGTTTTCAAAATAAGTTGAATACTGATTTTTGATGAATATATTTGCAGGATAAACAAGAGCTTAGTAAAATATATTATAGTTGAGATAAAGTTGTTAGCTCATGCAAGTCTCAAACTATATTTGAATTAATGTAAATACTTTTTTTAAGTTACCCTCTCATAGATTTCGTTGGACAAACTGGCATGAACTACGTAACAATCACATTCAAGGCCCCCAACTGAAGGCACCTAGAGTGAGAGAGGGCCCTCCAGAGAAGGAAGAACAGTTCTATACAGATAAAAATGATGAAGGGGAGCTCATGCACACATCAAAGAAAGGCAAGGAACGTAAAGATTACCAGGATAAAGCTGAAGATTGGGAGGAAGCTGAAGTAAGTATGGCAAAAGAGTAAAGGACACCATTTCATTTTTATTGACAATCTTTAGATGTGTTGACTTATTGTTATGGCCTCCAGCTTCTTTGTGGACAGTGTGGGACGGTTGGTGTTCAACAGTTTACTAGTATGTTCAGCGATCTGCATTCAGCATCTGTAACAATGGTGTGCAGTGACATTTTGCATCTTTAAAATGCCTTGTTTTAATGATATACAGGGTGGTCAGAAAAATAGAAAATTGAATGATGTACAAATGTGCAAAATATCAGGGAGTTATTCCTTAAAATGACAAATATATGAGGAAAATGGTGTAAGGGTTTCCATTTTTTTGACCACCCTGTACAATGAATATAAATGTATTTCAGTTTGCCAACCTGTCATTCCAAGACCTACAACACAAGTACCAGAAAGATAACTTTCTTCGTGTTTTGAAGCGTCTTCATGTTGTAGAGGAATTGAACCTTATTGACAACAACCTTACTGACCTCTCATCAGTCACATTCCCAAAGTAAGACTATACTGCTTCTAAGAGGAGTTTTTATATACTGCATTGAAATCTCTTGACTAACTTTGATTTATGTTTCATTTTCCATGGCTTTTCCAACTTTTCAAAAGAAAAGTATAGGCCAAATCTCAATTGATGCAATGTTAAAAATTCTTTAAAACCTTGGTTTATTTGTTCAAAAAACAAATTTTTCATGATTTACCACTAATATACATTAACATACATCCCAGAGTATGCCACTTGAGTTTCACTGATTCTTCCAGCACTTTTTGATAAAACATGAAATAAAGTGACTATTGCAAGTTTTTACGATTGAAGCCTATTGCAGTTTGGTCCAATCAATAGAAATCAAAAAGTGCTGATATCTATTTATTCAGCTATATAGCAACTCCCTTCTTGTTCAATCGTTAGACAGTGTCTAATGATAATGATTGATTCAAGTGTTCCAAAATAGTTGATATTTGTTACATTTTAAATGTGAAATACAATAAAACATGATGACATTTGATAGGGTATTACATTTTTTTTATTTTTTTTTTATTTCAGATGTGAATTCTTAAACTTGAATAGGAATCACATTGCATCATTCAAGGTAAGCTATTATGTGATTTTTGATGATTAGGTAGGTCAGGTACAATAGGAAGGCCAATGTTAGCATAGGCTTGCATATAACAGCCAGTGACATGCACAATTATGAACCAAATTCCTCCCATTTTGCCTGCCTTAATTAACATGAAACAATTTTATTAACATGGACTATAGATAACAATTATAAATGATAAAACATCTTCCAAAAACAAACGTCATCCACTCATTTTCTGAAGGAATGAACAGAGGTCTGGAGCCATGTGCTTGGAGAATGATGATAAAATAACAATAAATTAAAATGTTGAACTACAAACTATGTCTACCTGCATTAGCTTTAGTATGTTTGTATGTATTTACCACACTGGAGTACTGTTCACTAAATTGTTTAAAAAAATACACCAGACCAAGGATCAAGAGGTCATGAAAGTTTTGAAATGAATTTGGGAAAAAATATTGATATTTTTCAAAAAATACACCTTTTCATCATGGTTCTCCAGATTTGGTAGTATACAAGCCTGAGATAACAGCCTAAATGATAAGGAAAAATACTGGATAGTAATCAAACCTCACTATTGCTATCATGTTTATAGAAGTACTTCTCATTACCAGACTTACTGTTTACACATTTAATGAGTAAATTAATTAAGTTAGAGATTACTTAAATTTAAATACTAGTATGAAATAATCTTGTATTATTATCCCATCGAATGAAGTTCGGAGGGATATAGAAAATGCCTCCGTCCGTCTGTCCGTCTCAAGTCTGTGGACCCTGAAGAAAGATAACTAAAATCGCAATCAAATCAAGACAAAGAAAGAAGAAAATAAATGAAGAAACCAATGCAGCAAAAACCGGGCAATAATTCAAATACCGTTGGCCCGATTTTGTTCATATTTTGTACACATATACCCTATGGGGGTAGAAGTTCTGCTCGAAAGCCAATTTTCAAAATGGCTGCTCATTTCAAAATGGCGGCCATTTCAGTGCCGAATTCACAGTAATTTAGGTGCAATATGTAAAACTGTAATAGCAATATGTTTTAGATGTAAAAAAATTATATAGGACATTAATAAAGCTAGAAATGTAGATATTAAAGAAGCACATGGCAGCCATCTTGAAAAATGGCTGCATTTACTCGTTATTTTACGATTTTTGCTGTAACTCGAAAAGTAGGGGAGCGATTTTGTTCATATTTGGTATGTGAATACTATAAACATTGCACATTGTCTAAAGACGCTTTTGGTAGAAGGTGGCCATTTTGAAAAATGGCCGCCATTTTGAAAAATGGCCGCCATTATAACCTATTTTACTATAACTCGAAAAGTAGTGAAGCGATTTTCTTGAATACTATAAGGATGGCACACTGTCTAATGACACTTTTGGAAGAAAGCGGCCATTTTTCAAAATGGCCGCCATTTTAACGTATTTTACTATTACTCGAAAAGTAGTGGAGCGATTTTGTTCATATTTGGTATGTGAATACTATAAGTATGGCAAATGGTCTAATGACACTTTTGGTAGAAGGCGGTCATTTTGAAAAATGCCTGCCATTTTTGCTATATACTTTGTTTGTTAAAATGCCATCCATGGCTGTTCGATGGGATTCGCTACGCTTTGGCGTTGCCGTTGTTCTGATTATCTTTTTGAATAATAAATGATTTTTATAAAAATTGACATTTCAGTCACTGCCAAAGCTTCCTAAGGTCAAATATTTATCAGTAGGAGAGAACAACATCACATTACTTGATGGAATAGACAACCTGAGAAAATCTCCCATAGACATACTTTACCTTAAAGGAAACTCTGTAGTGTTTACAGAGTACTATAGACAGAGGTATGTACAGTAGGACTTGAGCACCCATGTAGGTCTTAGATATTTTCTTCAACTGGCAATCGCCATATTGATTATTTGATCCATGATCCCTGAAATGTCGAAATGTGACCTGTAATTGATAGTTCTTTCCTGATACATGTGCATACAGGGTGACCCAAGAAATCCAACACTCTAGTTGTGAAATTAATTTCTCAATTATGGGATATCGTTTTGAATTTTCTTGTGATTTTTCTTGAGCAAATAGCAGGCAGCTCTTATATCATGCTGTTTAGTGCTGATTAAGCGAAGCCTTGTACCTTTTCAGGAAAGAAGCTTTGTATCGTAGTCTATTCATGATTCATATTGCAGGCTGAAGCCCTCAGAAATGTTTGAAAAGAAGATCTCAAATTAGCAAATTCAATCAATGAACCATTAGAGTAGATGCGAGTAGAAATAATCTTGATTTATGTCATTAAATGTTCAAAATTCAGTCAAAGAGATGTCATATTCGTACATGTAAAAGTACATCTAGAAATATGGTTTCGAAAATTGTTTATCAACAGGTCCCTGTTACAAAATCATAAAAAGTGAAATATCTTTTCTTGTATTGGACAGATAATATTTTCTTTTACTGGACATATTTTAATTTGCATAACTATTAGATACATAAGGGTGATACGAAAATTGAACCACTAGAACAGATTTATTTAAAGTAAAGGGAACTTTCTACTATACCCGCCATGCTATCTGACCCGAACGAGTCATCTGGTGGTAAAACTGGTAACTACCTACTGGCATCTGCGTTTTTGATCGGGCACTTAATAAATTGACAGGACCCTCAAAAATGTTACATGATTTCACCAACCACTAGTTACAATATAATATTCTTGTTTTAATGTATTTGAAATATATTTCAGGGTTTTCCTGGAGTTACCCCACCTGAAAGTCCTAGATGGCATCCCCAAGTTACCCTCTGATACTGCACCTCTACCTGATGACTTTGTTGATAAATCCTCCACATGCGTTATCTCATAATCCTCAATACAGCACTGTACAATAACTTATGTGACGGAATAGAATTCTGAAGACACTATCTAGAAGACTTCTGATTATAACATAAGGCTGATAGAAAGGAATCCTCCATCTGTTCAGGATTGGTTTTTGTTTTAAAATGGTGAAAGTGCCATAGAACTTGGAGAAAGTGATTGAACATTATGAGGTTCTGATAAACAACTTTGTGGTTGAATTAAAGTGGCACTGTCTTTAATATTTCATTCAGAATCACTAACAAAACAGTATTTCACACTATTTTACTGCCCCTCAAAAGTGATGTGTTGCATATATTATGTATAGTCAAATGTAGATTAAATAGACAGTGCCACTTTAAAAACAGCCATATGTAATATTAAATGGCTATATTCCGTCAAGAGTATTATAAAAATATATGTTCAATAATTATATTCCGTCCATCTCGTGAAAGCCCAGTCACTAATTATACTAGCACAGCATCTGTGATATGCACATAGGGCAATATCATAATTGTACATGCAACAACAACATAGAAGTTTGTCCAATCGGAGTCTAGAGATGTTTCTTAGGGGACTCACATTCGACTTTATCATACACATTCCTAGGCCAATAAATCACATTATGTATTTTTTAGTTGATTTGTGACTGCTAAGTTAAAATGAATATAATCTTGCATACTTATAATTAACAGGAATAATTTACAGGTTGAGTGAAATAGTTAGTAATCTTTAATGTGGATATCATTTTTACACTCACTATATATGAATGTAAATACTAGATATAGTAGACTGAATACTGGCAATTTACTTTGTTTAATTTCTTGTATATTTGGGCAGGACCCATTGTCCCATTAACATACTGCATTAATAACATATTTCAGCATTTTCACAATCATTTATTGTATTTAATCACTTAATTGTACATTTTATTAAGAAAAAATATATTATTATTGTATAATTTCTCATAAAAATAGTTTATGTTCTATCTTTTGGTGCAAACTGGTATGTAAAAGATTGCATAAGTACCCTTAGAAAAATTGGCTTTTTATTTGGCAGATTTTTGAGAAAGTCCATCAATATACCATATACATGTATTATAAATATACATAAATTGATGATCTTCCACAATATTTAACTCATGAGTCCTTGACCCAGCACAAAAAGCACAGTTGTATCGTATGATTTGTCATATTAAAATATTATGTTCTATGGGATCTGTCAAGGAGGTACATTTTTACAAAATTTTGTTCATTTAAGAATTTTGAAGTTTTGTTTCATAATTATTACATTTTTCTGGGAGAAAAAATCCTTGAAACCATGCAGCTAGCTTGATTTAAATAAAAAATGAGAACTAGAACATTATAATGTCAACAGGAATATTCAAAATAATTTGCACACAATTCACCATTAGTTTTTATGTGGACTAAAATAATGTTATATTTGAGATTTTTTTGAAAGGGCTACATTCAAAGTACAGGATCTTTTGTGTTTATATATAGTGCTTTTATATGAAAGTGTCAACTGTAATTCACCTGAGCAAATGTCAAAACCCCCAATGATGTCATGACGATACACTTCAATGCATTTGTGTTTTGACTAGTTGTTCTAGTTTCAATGAAGAAGTTTATTGTTATGTTACATTGGAAAGCATGTGTTGGCAACTTTCATCATGGCACATGCAAAATATCTAATCCCACTTGCTGTGAACCTTTTATCACTCCAGCCCATAGTCATTAAATCCAGCCTCTGTAACTGGTCATGGTCAGTGTCATCTTCAAATGAATGACCGCCGAATAGGTACACCTTGTTTTTGTGGAAGACATGTGACATACAACTGGCTGGGTAGGGGATGGTGGATATACTTGTCCATTGGTCACTTGCTGGGTCATAAAGCTCACATTCCTGAAAGACAAGATTTTATTGGTCAGCCATTTCATTGATTTCCTCAACTCCATTTGTCAATTTCATATACCAGGTCAATCAATAAATTCTGAGAAAATGGCTCAGACTAAGAGTTTCGTGACATTTTTCTCAAAGTTTTCACAGGAGGTTCTTGATAAAATCTTGAATAAGAAGGTGAAAATAATTAGAATGTTAAAATTTCAGGTAGAAAGTCATTTAACTCTTAATCTAGGAGACTATTCTCAGAACTCATTAATCGACCTGGTATATGTAAGCACTTGAGACAAAGACAATGTATAATCGTACACTGAATATGGCATTTATAAAAAAATGAACAATGTATTATCTGATCTTATCATGAATGGACAAGTTTGTACAATCATACAAAAATAAAAACTTAAAATATTATCAGCATATACCTTTACATCTTCAAATTCCCCATCACCAACATAATTCACTCCTCCAATCACCATTATTCCTGTTGCTATGGAGATCATGCTGTGGTAACTTCTGGCTCTATGCATGGGTGAACAAGGAGTGCAAGCAGTGTCGAGTTTAAACACACAATCTAGATGACCAGCATCAGGGCCTTTGTAGCCTCCACTTGTGTATATAGTCCCATTGTAAACACATGCTTAAAGTAACAAAAAACATGCAAATAAGTTCAACATAAACAAGACTTCAAAATATCCAATGTAAATGATTGGTTATTCCATGGGCTGTCAAGAGAAAGCCCATGCTTACTTATTCCTTCAACAACAAACAATATAAATTACGTATTCTCTCTCTACCTGCATGCTCATGAAGCCCTTTGGGGAATGTTAAGTGTGGAAGTTCAGTCCATGTATCTTCTATAGGGTCATAAACTTCAGTCTTTTTGGTTGTAGTACCTGGGCCTATCCACCCTGCCATCGCATACAGTTTCTTGTCAAGTTCAACCATTGCAAACAAACTTCTGGCTGTTTTCATAGGGCTTATCTGAAAAATGCCAATATGTATTTTCAAAAGCGAGCATCAGTATTTCATACCATTTTTGATGCAATTACAAGTCTGTTAAATAATGCATTCATCTGTGAATTTTTTTGATATTTCAGAATAAAAATTTAATAAAAACTCTGGTGGTTTGGACTTTACAAAAAAATATTTTCAAAATTAAGTACTATTCTAGTAATGAACCTACCTCTTTCCATTGTAGTTTTACTTGTGATCTTTTACCCTGCAGTGGCATGTAGTTTGAGTGAGAGATAACAGGATTGAACCTGTATGCAGTGTTCACAGTATTCCAGCCATGTTTAGAATATGCAGTTTGACCCCCAACAACATACACTATATTGTCTATTACACATACACAATGTTCACATAATGACTTTGGTAATTTTTCTTTCATGAAACCGTGTATCACAATTGTGTTATTGTCAGTTGGAAATGATTTTTCAACTGTTTTAGGTGTGTCATTTAGCCTACTCTCAGTAGATGTTTCAAATGCTGCCTCCAGTTTTTCAATACCCAGAATTTGCACTCGATTAGTACAGGCCTCAGAGGCAGTAAATCCTCCATAGAATAATACAGCATTTTTTGAATTCCGTTCTTCAACAGTTGCATAGGGGTACTTGGAGATCATTTTATGGGGATTGTCAATGTAATCCTCCAGCTGTATGCTACTTGTGTTCAATGAATTCAAAATCATATCTCTTAGCTCTTCATCATTAATGGCTCTAACAGTTTTGTCAATTTTATTTGAAAGCGATTTGAATTCTTTGGATGTAAGCAACTGAGCAATAAAGGGAAACCGCACAGTGTGAACTAATTCTCTTTTTGCATTATATGATGCACAAGTGACCTTTACATGTGCATCTTCAGATGAAGAACTTTCATGGATTTGGGACATGTTGCCCGTAAACATATTTGTTAAGTCTTTATTATGGTTGGTTAACCATAAAAGTAATGCATCTAACACAATACATTCATCTTTCACTAACAAACAGTCACTTTTCAAATATTCTTTCAATTCACTAACATCCATTTCAGTGAAAGCTTCCGTCTTACAAAATGCACTAACATTTTGAAATCTAACAAGCTCTAGCATAGAAAGCATTTCTTGTAAGTCATACTTGTTTGCAAGGAGAAACACCTTGTCATAAAATAAACTAATGTTACTATTCAGGACAGTCTCCATGCTTTTAACACATACATCTATCAGTTCTTGCATCTGTAGATAGACTGCTGCATTGAGCACATTTTCTAAATACTCAATATCCAAGTCTAGTTTTTTCCTCAGTTTATCATATGCTAAACTAGATTGTTTTGATTTGGATTCTAAGTATAAATATATGAATTTCAGGGCATTTGATGAAACTGCTTGTAAATAAATCTGTCGATCTAAGCACTCTTTCATCCCACTGTTTAACATGCCACTAAAATAATCACTATGGTTAACAAGTTCTTCTTGTGCAAATATAAATGAATCCTTTTCTCTTGAAAGTAATTCAAGAGAATTGTCAGTTTTAAGTTCCTGAGTTGTCATCTCCTGCGGCTCTTTAGAGGCTGTTAGATAGAGTTGTAAAGAGGCTCTTTTTGCATCATTTTAGAGGAGCCTAGATATAGGCCATTTTGGTCAGTTGTATCATAACACAAGATGTAACACAATGGAAACAGTGGGCATCTCCCACCTGGAAAATATAAAAAGATGGTATAGATATTTAAAATATTTTCAATACTAGATAAACCATCTTTTGGGACTGTCACTACAGAAATCACCTTTTTCAACAGTTATTCAGTTATTAGAGAGATCATCTTTTGAGAGAATTCACCTTTTGTGAGTGACACTCGAGAAATCACCTTTTGTGACCAAAACTAGAGATATCACCTTTTGTGACTGTCACTATAGAAATCACGTTTTGTGACCAACACTAGAGAAATCACCTGTTGGGAATGTCACTAGGGAAGTCACCTTTTGTGTCTGATACTGAAGAATCATCTTTTGCAACTGTCACTAAAGAAATCACCTTTTTTGACCAACACTAGAGACATCACTTTTTGCAACTGATACTAGAGAAATCACCTTTTGTGACTGTCACTAAAGAAATCACCTTTTGAGATCAACACTAGGGAAATCACCTTTTGGGACTGTCATTAGAGAAATCATCTTTGACTTTTGTGTCTGACACTCTAGAAATCACCTTTTGCGACTGTCACTAAAGAAATCACCTTTTGAGACCAACACTAGAGAAATCACCTTTCGGGACTGTCACGAGAGAAATCACCTTTTGTGACCAAAACTAATCACTTTTTGCATTTTGTGACTGTCACAAGTGAAATCACGTTGTGCAACTGATACTACAGTAATCACCTTTTGCGACTGTCACTAAAGAAATCACCTTTTGCGACCGTTACTTGAGAAATCACATTTTGTGATCAACACAAGATAAATCACCTTTTACGACTGTCACAAGAGAGATCACCTTTCGCGACTGTCACTTGAGAAATTAAATTTTGTTACCAACACGAGAGAAATCCGTTTTTGTGAATGTCACTAAAGAAATCACCTTTTGTGTCTGACACTAGAGAAATCACATTTTGTGACTATCTCTAGAGAAATCCCATTTTGTGACGAACACTAGAGAAATCACCTTTTGCAACTGTCACGAGAGAAACCACCTTTTGTGACCAAAACTTATCACTTTTTGCGTTTTGTGACTGTCCAGGAGAAATCATGTTTTGCAACTGATACTACAGAAATCACCTTTTGTGACCAAAACTTACAACTTTTTGCGTTTTGTGACTGTCCAGGAGAAATCATGTTTTGCAACTGATACTACAGAAATCACCTTTTGTGAAACACTAGAGAAATCACCTCTTGTGACTGTTACTAGAAAAATCACCTTTTGTGACCAACACTAGAGAAATCACCTTTTGCAACTGTCACTTGAGAAATCACCTTTTGCGACTGTCACTGGTGAAATCACATTGACCAACACTAGAGAAATCACCAACTGTCATGAGTGAAATCACCTTTTGTGACTAAAACTAGAGAAATCACATTTTGTGTCCAACACTAAAGAAATCACCTTTTGCGACTGATACTAGAAAAATCACCTTTTGTGTCCAACACTAGAGAAATCACCTTTTGCGATTCATACTACAGAAATCATCTTTTGCGATAAAATTAGAGAAATCACCTTTTGCGACTGACACTAGAGAAATCACCTTTTGTGTCCAACACTCGAGAAATCGCCTTTTTTGTCCATCACTAGAAAAATCACCTTTTGCGACTGATACTACAGAAATCATCTTTTGCGATGCAACTAGAGATTTGTGATTGTAAAGGAAATCACCTTTTGAGACCAACACTAGAGAAATCATCTTTTGCAACTGTCACTAGAAATCCAATGTGACCAAAAGACACTCTACCCATCCTGCAATTTGCTTATTTGTCATGCATTTTCTGAAGAAATTGAAGTCAAGCCAGCCTTTTTTGCATGACAGCAGAATATGTCATGCAGATACGCAGAATTTTTCCTTAGAAATTCATAAAGAAATACTCAAAGTGAGGTAGGCTTCTTGAAAAAACTGGAACTTGTGGAAGTGCAAAAACTTCTCTTCCTGTTTTGATATTGTGTTTTAATTCAAGTTCATAATGAGATGCTTATCATTATTTTAAGAAATATTTTATTGCTTACATATACGGCTAAGATCGCCAAAACTCAGTTGGAGAAACAGGAGATTGATATCTTACCTTAATCTACACGAAACTTGGTATTATGAAGCAGAATAGAATATGCAGAAAACATTATCCCAAATTATGTGCGCGATTACGTTTGTCTCTAGGTCATTCGCTATAGCGAAAACAGCTGTTTACTTTGGAAATGTTATGCCGTTTCACGAAAGCTGAGGTACACGAAATCAAGAGTTGCATTCACATGGCTTTCAAATAGTTGTCTTAGTGGCATCTGCAAGTACTTTTGTTTCTCGAAGAAGTGTTATCATTTTAACACAGGAGTTGAAAATTCCCGGGAAAGTTGTTTCGTTTTGTGTTAAAACCGGAAGTACATAAATTTGGCAAACATATTTGGTTTATTTATTCAAAATAGGTAGGTATTCCAAGATTGTTCAGACTTGATTTGACAATTGAACAATTTCTATGTATGCATTGTACGTTTGAAAGTGAAAACATGAGAAAAACTTATTATAAGAGTTGATGTATAGGCCTAACTAAAGTAAAAAAATTGTTGAAATAATATTACTGCAGCTGTTCAATGTTTATACATGTAGCAACGGCATATATAATGACACATTTGAAGAAAAACAGAGTCGTAATACATGTTTCAATATGTCTTTTTAGTATTTCTTCTATTTTCATCTGGGGCCACACTTCCACCTGAACTAGATAGTAGATATTGCGCAATAATATACAGGTATATTTCAATAAGCATGCAATGGCGTAGCGTCATACACATAAAAAGCCATGGCGTTCTCTCAATATTTAGAGAAATGTTGATTTTTTTGTTGAAATGGCCCACAATTCTCTATCAAAGATTGTTTGCTTTGCTTACTCATGACCCGGGCTCGAGACACCCCCCCTGACAGAAAACAGAGCTGGCTATGTCCCTATACTATGTACACTTTTGCACCCTTGGGTATACAGTTTTCTTGCAACGAGTCAAAGATTTCAACTTTTGTTGGCTCACTCTGTCATCTAGGACCTAGGTCTGTCTTGGAATTGGTAATGCATGAGGCAGCAACAATCTAGACACAACTTTCTTTTTCTTTGAGAAATCTAGTGAGTTTTCCCTAAAAACTGACATGCATGTTCGTGCATTATCTTGTCATTGGTTAATACATCTATTTATCTATTCATGTAAAAATTCATGCACTATACAATAAAACCTTATTAGTAAAACAAGTCCTCAAGAGGAACACTTCTCAATGTCCCAATGCGCATTACTTATCATTAACTTTTTTTTCAGAAAAATGACATGCCTGCATATGTGCATCAGAAATAGACTATTGAAAGCCTCCTCAAACCACCTAAGGCATTATGTTACGCATACAAATTCAGGAAGTATTTACAAACCTTTACTCAAGGGAAGTGAAACATATACATTAATTGGACAAGCTACAAGAAATATAACCACATTTCATCATTTCTACAGAGGACTTAAACATTGTAAAGTGCGTAAAAGTCGCCATTGTGTAGCAGTATCAACTTGCTTTGACTTTCATACAACCCCTCGATATCGTGTGAATCCTGTATTCTGGTTGGCTATTAAACAAGTGGGGAAATTAGGGGCTATAATAACAGGAAGGTAGGTTATATGTCAATGGTTTATATTGTTTATCACGAGATATATCAAAGCCAGGGATTAGTTTACTGATGGTATATTATAGACTCATTCGCTGTATGGAGATATCCACTCATGCATAAAAACGTATCCCTCAAAAATCATTGGATATCCTCTATTTATCTCAAGAAATATCAGATCCAGAGATAAGTTTGCTGATGGCATATCATACCAAATTTTTAGTCCTCTAGAGCAACATGTAATTTTCTTTTAACCATCATAGAATGTGACAAAATCCCTGATCAATAGGCTTACTTCATATTGTATTTCCATCAGGAGTCTCAGGAAATATTGGAAGAGGCTACCTAAAGATGATAAGAGGACTGTGATGCAACTGTTGAGAAATAATCGGAACAAGATCTGGGCAGCTGTTGGAGCTCTTGTATTACTTATGGGCATTAACTATGCAACCCATCTACAAACAACTCCCCTCACCAACAGGACTCGCTACATAGCATTCACAGAGGAACAGTTTATGAAGATTGTGCAGTATGAAGCAGATGGAGTATGTCTTTTGCATAAATTAAAGATGTAAATTACCATGGACTTCAAAGTTTATGTTCATGTACATGTATATCATTTTAAAGCTATAAAAATGTAGAGCAAAAGATCTAATGAGTAGGGGAAGACACATTTTCAAAATATTAGCCACAACTCATCATTATACATTGCTGCCTCTTTAAACTATATTGTCCCAGGTAAAACCATATCTGACTCACTTTTCTTTTTTATTTATTTTAGTATATGGAAACATTTAAGGATAAAATACTTTCCTCAAGGCACCCTGACTATCAACGCGTTGTAAGGGTTGCAAGTAGAATAGTGGAGGGCAATAGGGACATTGAAAAGATGAAAAATTTGAAATGGACTGTAGTTGTGGTAGACGACCCAGAGAAGAATGCATTTGTTTTGCCTGTGAGTACCAATTACATTTTCAGAAGGATTCACGGGGGTAAAGCATACCCGATAATGCAATGAGCTTGCTCGGCGGTATCATGACTGTGTAACGGGTCTTAATGTATAAGTGTGCTCGGCGGTAGGTTCAAACAACGCGGATCCTCAAAGCATGTGCTCATGGTATGTTCGTGTTTTAACACCCGTGAGGATTGTAATCAGTCAATAGATTAGAATCATTCAACCAATCAATCAACCATTGATATAATGCTGATCATACATTTTTTTATTCAACATTTCTCATCCATTTCTACAATAGATTATTACAGTGTGCTAAAAATTGAATATTAGAATTATCGTTTTGTCACATATAGGTCACAGTGTTTATGAAATCAATGTCATATAAGTAAGAATTTAATTTTGAACATAGCTAATTGTTATAATTTCTAATTTCACTAAATCTGACAGAAAATTAAGATCAGCACATTTAGATTTTTGTGTTCATGCACCAGACAGAACACAGAGAACATGTATTTTAGACTGGATATTTATATGAGTTCATGTGTTATATTCTGTTTCTTTGTTTCAGACAGGACATATATTTGTGTTTGTGTGTAACAGAATAAAGTATACATAAACACGTGTTTATGGATTTCAGACAGATCATGTATTTGTGTTTTTTGTCTCAGTCAGGACATATATTTGTGTTTGTGTGTATCAGACTATACAGTCAAATGGTATATATATGTGTTTGTGGGTTTCAGTCAGAACATGTATTTGTGTTTCTGTGTTTCAGTCAGGACATATATTTGTGTTCAGAGGAATGCTTGAAACATGTCAGAATGATGACCAGCTGGGTATTATCTTGGGACATGAAATGGCACATGCTCTCTTGGAACATGGGGTATGTGTGAATCTTAAAATATTTGTTATAGTATAATATGTATTGTTGAATTAAAATCTTGAATATATTTCTATTTTGAAAACCTGTCTTAGGGAACACCCTTCTCTAGTGAACACCTGTGTTAAGTGAACAACTCTTCAAGACACACTCTACATTGACTCCTGTATAAAGTTCCCTCTCTGTAGTGAACACCTACCTCCAGTGACCACTTTTTGTGGCTCCATAGGTGTTCACTATAAACAGGTTTCACCAGTAAATCCTGTCTTAGTGAACACCACTTCAAGACACATTTTACATGAACTCCTGTTTAAATTCCCCCTCTGTAGTTATCTACTTTTTTGTGGCTTAATAGGTGATCACTATATACAGATTGTACTGTGTATGCTTTTCCCTGAGTTTTGAAAAGAACCAAATTAAAATGATAATAGAATTATGTGTATTAGAGTGGCTGAAATGTAAATGTATGCCTTTTGAATTTGTTTCAGGCAGAACAAGTGAGCTATGCAAACATATTGGACGTTGTTGTTATATTCATTATGGCTGGGATCTGGTTCTTTATGCCTACAGATGGGATAGCATTGGTTACACAATGGTTCTACAACAAAGTCATCCATGTAAGTATAAAGTACATGTACTTTAACGGTGTGTAACCGTACATAGGGTAGTTGTGGATGTGAATCCTCTTCATACTCACCAAAATGGCTACCTATAAGTTCAAATTTATATGCTGATCCCTAAGGGACATTCTGCTCAAAGAAATTTGGATCCTTGAGATGGCCACTGATCTTCAGATGGCTGTCACCTTTCGTAGAAAATGTATTTTTCATACTTTAGTACAACTCGATACCTGTTAGCAAATTTAGACATATAGGAATGAATTATACATTTGTTCAAAAAGAGATTTCCAATATGGGTGGTCAGTTCAAAATGGCCACTATTTTTTTGTGAAAATATAATATTGAAAATTCAAATACCACATGTCAAATTTGGTTAAAATTTTGGAGACAATACTATTATGAGTGTATTGTTCATTGGAATCTGCTACACTGTGGGAGTTGCTGTTTTTCTTTCTAATTAGAGAGCATGCTTTGTTATTCCAGTTGATGTTTTCACTGCCATTTAGTCGCATGATGGAGACAGAGGCTGATGAAATAGGACTACAGCTCTGTGCTAAGGTACATATTCCTAACATGAGTAAAGGCATTTGAATTAATAATTTAATTAATTGCATTTGGCCTTTAATCTTTCACCTGAAAAATTGAAGGTGTCTTTCTCATATGACTTACAAAGATACAGCCATCTTTACCCCATGCAAGATATATCCAGTTTGAAATTCCATTATTCAAGCCTCCTTTGATGAAAGTCTAAAAAGTTTGCAGAGAAAAGGTTTGGAGAAAATATCAAATTCTGGATTAATTTTAACCCTAGTCTTTCATAAAATCTCTGCCCAACCTCTTTCCAACAGAGCAAGTGATATAAATGATTTGAACAAAGGGACTTGAAACAATATTTTCGTATTCTTCTTCCAGGCATGCATGGATGTACGAGAAAGCCCAGCCTTTTGGCGATTGATGCACATGCTCCAGACTGCAAAGAACAAAACAGAGGAGAGTGGAGTCACTGAGTTGGCTCTTGATGTCCCCCAGCTCCTTTCAACCCATCCTTCACATGCTACTAGGGCAGACAACCTCAATGACCTTGTACCTCAGGTAAGCAACAGGGTGTAACATAAGCGAGGTACCAGGTGATGCAATACTTAGAATGGGTAATAAATTGCTCTACAGAGTTGACAGTCTGCATCCTTACAAAATATCAGTCTGATTTAATTAAATTGAAAGCCTGTGATTTCATTGACTGAATTAAATGACACTCCTTTACTTGGTACATTTTTCACACCCTGTACCCACCCTGTTAAATGTACCCACCTTAGTGTCTCCTTGCTTCAGCAAGCAGGAAAACTTGAAAAATATCCACCTTGAAGAGATCATAGTACTCTAATTATCTACTATGCTCCACATATGGATCAAAAATCTAAAAGTCTGCTCATGGAATCTAAATCTACACTTCACCTCTTTTATAATGTCAATCCATTATTAATTTTTTTTCACAAGCAAATCAAGGTATAACAAGGACAAGCAAAGAATCAAGTAATTGCCTATGCTATACTATACAGCAACACTTCATTTCATATGCATCTTTATACTTGCAGGCTATTAAACTTCGAGCTGATTGCAATTGCCCAAGGCTGCCAACTGCTGACCCCAGAGATGCAATACAAAAGCTGGAAGCCAGTATGGAACACGCTATCAAAAATAAACAGTTGCAGAAATTGGGAATGGCTATCAAATCTGATGTTGTTAAACCTTTTAATCAATCTGCAGTGTCAACATCCTAAACCTTGAAAGCATGTTTTTGAATCCAATAAGTTTGCGTTGAAAGATAACCTATAAGTTATTTGAGGATGGAACTGCTCAACTGGAATAATTTTAGTGATATGTAGTTTCAGAAGTAGGGGTTCCTACAGACTGAAATTCAGGGAATTATTTTTCTAGCATCTAGAAATGTCAGGGAAGTTAGTTCAAAAAGGGCCTAAAATATTGGAGCTTATGCAAACTAGATAACGGCAACTCTGCGGAGTAGCAAATCCCAACGAACAAAATATCAATTACCGAATTCCAATCAATTATACTCATTACTTTGGTTGAAAATGAAAAAATTAGATTTTAGAATTGCGAATTCCTGCAAAGCAGCCATTTTGAATTTTCTGAGGTACAAATCTGAAAAATAATACCATAATTGTGATCTACTCCAAAATTCCTTCAATTTGAGTATAATATAGCCATACTTTGAAGGGATCGAAAAATTATTGCGAAATCGTACATTAGACGGCCATTTTGAATTTTACAAGGCTCCAATCAGAAAAAAGATACAATATTTGCAATCTACTCTTAATTGCCTTTCATTTGAGTATAATAAAGCTATACTTCAGAAAGATTTCTGTTTTCCTGTCCCCCCATACATGGCCCCTGGGGGTCAGGATGAAAAACACGGAATATATGTGAAATAGATAAATGTTGTGAATACACTACCAAAATTTCAAACAATAATATTAATTACTTTGGTTTAGAATGAAAAATTCCGTCATTTTTAAAGCGGCGGCCATCTTGAAAAAATTTTTTTTGCCTAAAACTATTCACCAATATACATCTTTCCACTAAATATGAAGAAAATCTGTCAACTAGTATTTGAGTTATCTTCCGGACAGACGGACGGACTGACTGACTGACAGACTGACGGACAGACGGACGGACGGAGGGCTTCACTATATCCCTAACGAACTTCGTTCGTTGGGATAAAAATAAAATGGTTCAAGAGAATTTAGGTAGCCAAAAATTTACAAAAAAGCATGTTTATAATATAAAGTTATCAACTAGATACATGGACTGTATCTTTATCTTTTAATCTGCAAGGGGTATTGGGGTTTTAGAGAATACACCTTGCTAAAATCACTGAAAGATGAACACATATTCACCTCAACAGATTGAAATATTTTTACAGTACTATTTTATAATGTTGCCATAGTATTATTTTGTGAAATACTTGTACAGTAAAACCTGCAAACATGGAACGCTCTCCAGACTGGCCAAAACTATGTTCCATATAGAGAGTAATTAACAGTGGGTAGGTTGGCTTATCCTAATCTCATTTATATTAAGCTAAGCTCCTTAGGATCAGATATTGGCTTAAGCAATTCACACCTCTGAAAAACAATAGGATGTACAGTGTAACCAATTTTAGTGAACAGGTGGATTTTCAAGATTTGCCCCAAAACAGTGTTTTCCATACAGAGAGGGTCTGTTAACATGTACGTCAGTGTTAAAATCAGGCGTGTAGCCAGGCATACGTGAGGGTAGGCAGTTGCGTACCCCAAATGATGGAGCAAAAAATAAATTGTTGTAACAAATAAAAAAAGTACAGCAAAAAATAATGTAATTAGAGGTTATGTCACTATCGTAGCATTTATGCCTGAGGGTTTCAGTGATATATGGCCCGACCTTAGTCTGGTGCAACTATGTGCAACTATAGTGACATAAACGATTTATAACATAACTATGATGATCTAGTCTGCTCAGAGAGTACCGTTTTCTTATCTAATTGACTAGTAATGGTTCGGAAATGATGATTTATTCCCATGTTTGTATCTTACGAATGTACGAGTCAATTTGACCTAGGCCTCATGTATGACGTAGTCCCAGCGCTTGACCAATCAGAAAGTTAGTGGGCGCGGGCTTTTCAAAAGTTATATTGGCCCGCTGTCTTGTGAACAGCTTACACTATACACCATCACAGGTATGTTATAAACAATAAATAGTGCCCAATCATAAAGTCTGATATCGCTCAGAACACACCATTTAAGGTCTAAAATCAAAGATTTTTCCCTGGACTCCCCCCAAGTTTTGCTTGGCCTTCAACCTCGCGTACCTGCTATCAAAATCCTGGTTACGCAGCTCAAAATATTTGGTTCTTTTGAAAACTGTTCGTTGTTGACAGATGGGTGTTCCATCGGGCAGGTTTTACTCTACAATTAAAAATTGAGAATTGTCTCTCACTGGTATAATTTATTACATGTACATAAAATTATAGCAATGCGATTACCTACATTACGTAGGATATTATAGTATTACTTTATTTCATATCATAGGATATAACATCATGTCTTAACAATCCTTTAAGAGATTGAATTAATTGTTGCAGTTTGTAACCATAATAATAGTTTCTGTTTTTGATTTGATTTTACTAATACAGTGTATATGTAATTGAAACACTCAGCTGGTTCTGATGTGATTAGAGTGGCAGCTATAGTAACTTTTTAGTAGGTATGCATATTTACTGATTTCTGTGTGAAGTTGCAACTGTTGAAAATGTGATAACTCCATGCTTATCAGAATGATCAAGGGAATAAAAATATTGAAAGTATATGTATACTGTAGTTTGTTTGGAAATGATTTTTTAATGCCCACATATTATACAGTCAATACCGTCGTTGGTCATGTTGGGATGATTTTGTGATATGGTGAACTAAATTCAACATTGTATTTTTCTCTTGAACAAGTTATTGAAAACAATCTGTAAAAAACACATGCTGTACATAATGGTAACCAATTTACAACAATTTAAGGTGAAAATTATCTATAAGTATTTTATAAAATTGTTTTTAGTGAACAATTTTTTTTAGTTCTGTGTTTTGTTGTTTTCTACCAATTCTTGAGAATGAAATAGAATGTCTATCTGAACCCTGTTCAATTTAGTTCACCATATCGCTACCAATCCTTTGGGGTCAATCATTGGCTCAGTAGAGTTTGATGTGCAAGAAGGTGTTTTAACATCAATATGGGAAGTGTTTGATTGCATATTCTGCTCACCTTTTATTCTATCTTACTGGGATAGATCTGCATCTATGTGTTATAAGCAGCCTCTTTTTCAAAACTTGGAATCAATGTTTTTCATGATTATTCCTTGCTTTTTCCAAGAGTAAATTGGAATGATTCTTCACACAAATGTTTTGTAATGAGAGAATTTAGTGACAGTGAAACACCAATACAGGGTGACACAAAACGGTAACTCTCTACATTGCATATAGACACTGAATAGTTTTCTCAATGGAATATTAACAAATGTTCTTACCAAAATAGAATGTTCAATGTGTGAAACATTGTGAAAAATTAGGTTTTTCATTTCAGCTCACATAAGCCAAATCTCTCAAAATGCAAGTTTAGAAATCTAGCTTTAATTGTCAATTTACCAAATAAAAATGTCAGTCCATCATCATAAATGACAAAACTTATTCATAACAAGCGCTACGTTCTATCCAGTGGGTTCATACGACAAACTTGAGACCCTAGTAATATGTGGTGTAATAATATGTGACCAAAACCCCATATTCAGAAAACAATAATTTTAACATTTATAGATGCTTTTGAATGAGAGCATATGCTTAGAACGAAAAACATGATTTCTCTAAATTCTGTCATTAATGAGAAAGTCGTTATAAAATTAGATCATTTTACCATGTATTTACAGAAAGTCTCTTATTCAAAAAAGACAAAATGGAAAATCAGGAGAAATGCCAAAATGCCCCAAAAAATCCCCAGAGCCTAGAAGATTTCTATTTATATTATGAGTTGACAGGTGGAGAAGTATTTATACATGTATTATGCCTTCTGAAAGAGCTGTTTAATCACTTCTGAGAACATCCAAGTTAGCAAGATTTAGAAGCACATGTAACTCCTCCCTAGGATATTTTGTGGTCTTGCACCTGGTGCCTCTCTGTTTATCAAAATAACCCCCACTGAAGATATAGATTTCAAACACATTGACATAACCACTATTCCACACCTTGATGACTCTAACTGCAGTTAGTATCATTCAAGATGGTGGCCAAAATTCTTTCGTTTTCAATAAACCAACGATTTCAACTAAACTAAGTTGAATCTGGAATGACACGTCATCATCAAGTTCAGTAAGAGTCATTCTAAGTGAGGCCGTTTTCTTTAAACTCCAATATTGCGGGTGTTTGAACATTTTCTTGTGACTGTTCACAAACCTAACTTTATTAGTTTGCATGGGGAAACATTTGGAATCCACATTCAACTTAGTTAAGCTGAAATCGTTGGTTTATCGAAAACAAAAGAATTTTGGCCACCATCTTGAATGATACTAACTGTAGTTAGAGTTTTTTAAGTTTAAGTTTAATATAGTTTATTTTTGTGTCACAAGCAATAATATTAAAATACATTTAAAACACTTTTTTAAAAAAACATTGCTTCTAGCCGATGCCGGCTTATGAGACACCAAGTTGATACATGTGTGGGTAATATTAAAATTCCCATGTGAAAATTACTAAATGCACAATAAGACAGTGATAAAGACCATAATTTTTGTATACTGAGTTCACTGTTTACTTCCACTTACTAAGAGGAGACATCTTCCCCAAGGTTGATGTTCCTGGGAGCAAATGGAAAGAGAAACCCTGCTTAATCAGTGATATAAGGGCCCTCTGGTTGGCCCAATACCCTCCTGAGGGGTCCCCCATATCACAGTGGATCTACAGGTTTGCATCTTGTATCTATTTTGGCAGTATCACAGTTCTAAATAGTATGTAAAAGTGCTGTAAAGTGGCAGAATCAATATCATATGGCCTTTATCCCCAGACAAGCAACTTATGTATAATTGAATATCAACAAATAGAATACAGTATGAGAAAATATACATTATAATTTGTTGTTATGGAATTATCTCAAATAGAGGTACTGTTAAAGTCTTTCTAGATCAAAGTTTCTTTTACTGAACATCTTAAATAATGTACTTGCAAAAGCTCTTTGTATACAGGGCGTGTGCATAAGTCTAGTAAACAGCAGAATATGATCATTTGAACCAGTTTCAATGCTAGGGGCCAGCTTATTAACAATAGCCAGAAATTTTTTCCTCAAAACATTGTAGTGAGAGCATTTGAGAGTGAAGTGTATCTCGTCCTCAATCTCATTAGAGTCACATAAAGCACATTTTCGATCCTCAAGAGGTGTATTGGTATAACGGCCAGTTTCAATGTGTAGTTTCAATGTTCCAGTTCTCAGTTTTGCAAGAATACTTCTATGATGGCGTGGCATAAACATTTCAATGTATGCTTCAGTTGATGCACCATATTTAAATTGACGATATGTTCTCAGTTTATTGCCATTAGTTTCATTATTTTTATCATTCCAGATATTTCGAAGAAAAGGATCAGTAGTCTGTAGGTGATTTTTAATAGCTTTGATACATGGTTTTATCTCAATGTACTGATTATTCAAAAGTATACCACAAGATTCAATGAAATGTTTAGTACGAGAATTCCAACTTGATTTCCTTCGTAACGACCATATATGTATCCGATTATTTAATCTGGTATTTTCCATATTGTGGAGTCGCAGATATAGTCGGGCACATTCCAATTTTTGTTTGTGGATAGGGGGGCTCCAGCCCATGTCCCCTCTGGCTCCTTCATTGCTCGTCTTTTGGCCTACTCCTAGGAATATTTTTGTTGCTTTATTTTGTACATTATTGATACAACGATGCTCATTAAGACCAATAATTGAGGTACCATAGTTGATGATTGGTTGGACTATTGTATCATATAGCTTAGTATAAACTGCATAGTCCATTCCACCTGCAGCTTTGAATTTACATGTTAACACTGCCAGGGCACGACTAGCTGACTTTGCTATTTCTTTTGCTGTGATCTTAGCATCAACATATGTTCACTTAGCCAGACACCAAGGTACTTGTAGGAGTTTGCATAGTCAAGTGTTTTTGGGCCACATTTGAATACATGATCTGATCGGGGCCTCGCAGCAGGGCGGTAGTGAACAATTTTGGATTTTTTCTTGCTGACTGTGAGTCGCCATTTTCGACACCATATGTAGAGGGCATTCAGCATACGTTGTAGATCCTCTGCAGTCCCAGAGATGAGGGCTATATCGTCGGCATAGAGTAAAATGCTAACCACTTCATCTCCGACTTGAACACCACATCCGAGTTGTTTGATAATGTTCGCTATCAAAGTCATCCAAATGTGGAA